CACCAGCAGTCAGGTCAGAGGGCAGCTCTTGTTCCTCTCAGAGCTATTGCCACCATCTCACCCCCCCCCAAAATCAACACCCTCCCTTTTATCTCGTCTGAAGCTTGGCCCTTTGCATGACTTTACCCCCATACTGTCACTCTGACACGTACTACAGTTTGTTTGTTAACGAACATGCAGGGGCTGTGTGTGTGTGTGTGTGTGGGGGGGGGGGGGGGGGATGTGTCAGATGACTCAAACTGCTTTATTTCCCCCCTTCTTCACTCTTCGGATGTTAATCTTTACTTTGTAGGCTCTGGTATGGTTTCATCAAAATACCGACACAAGGCTTTTTGTTTTTGAGACCTTAACTCATTGAGAATTTTCAGAACAGAGAGTCCCATACTGCCAGAGTTTTTTGAGCATTTTGACTGATTTTTCAAGAGCCACACAATAGTTTGTGCTATGACTATGTAAACACCGAACACACCAAAAGAAAGAGTAGACTCTCTTCTTTCATCAGGAAAAAAGTTTTGTTTCTACCTTATTCCGTTCTTCCTCACCGTGCGTCTCACCGGCGCCATTTCTCTCATAGCGAACCATTGCGTTTTTCTTATTTGCCTACAATCTATGCTGATCTCCCATCAAAAGTGGCACAGCTACCTTGAGGGTAAATTTGTTACTACATACTCTGTCTGGAAGCCTGATATTTACAGAAAACTTTAGCCGATCGTCCCCCAGCCACTCTCGTTGAAAAACATAAAAGACGTCTATAGACGTCTTTGGCAGCGAACGGTTGTATTTGAATTGACGTCTATAGACGTCTTTGGCAGCCAATGAGTTAATAGATCTACTGAGTGACTCCCTGAAAAAGCCGTTTACAAAAGGAAGTTTTTCCTTGCCTGTGTCGCCTAGTGCTTGCTCATGGTGGGAATTGTTGGGTTTCTGTAATTAACTTCAGAGTAGGGTCTGACCTGCTCTGTTTGGAAAGCGCTGTGAGACAACAGTTGTTGTGATGTGGCGCTATATAAATAAAACTGAATTGAATTGAAAAATAAATGAAGGGCAAGAATCCCTTTGCAGGGATTTGGTATTGAAGGGGTTACTGTTCAGCTTCTTCCCGCTCACTGATGATCAGAGAAAAGGCACTCAAGCTGTTTTTCAGGGTCTTTATTCATATAGAATTAAGCTCCTAAACCGAGATTTTAAAATATATTATTTTTAAAAATGTCATGTTTCCAGGAGATCAGGGGCCATTTGTAAGAGCAGGTGAAGGGTTCGGATATCTATCTATCTGCAAACGATATCTATTACTGTTGTGGGGGGGCGCAACTTAATGATGATGCCTTAAAGACTGTATTACTGTTGTCATACTTTATTCCAACCAGGGAGTATACCTCCCTCTGGTCTGGTATCTGACAGGTCTCAGCTTTCCTCTGTATTTATTTGATCTTTTCTGGATCAGTAATTACTTTATGTGCCTTTTTCCTGTTATTCTCATGGGTCTCATTTCCTTTATGTGTTTATTTCTTGTCCCTGCAGTCTGTTCTCTGAGGCTGTTCACTCTAATGGCCAGTGTCTCCACGTTCCTTCCTCTTTTCAGGTGTCTAATTCCTTTTGTTATCCTGTTCTCAGGTCAGTCGGGGTCAGTGGGAGCAGGTCAGCCCGTCGTGAACGCCATCAGGAGGGACTCAGCTCTCATAGGAGGTACTGTCCCTCACACCAACCATGAGACAAACTTTGGGATGATTTGTTTTCCACTCTGGTCTCTTCACTTGTGTCTTTTACATTTACATGTACATTTATACAAAACCAATCAGGTTTTGATTTTCCTAATATCAGAGCTCAGACTTTAAAGAGGAGGAATCACTCAATAGCAATCCAGGGAGATTCTGCAAAAAAAACTATGAGATGAATTGTATAAAACAAGATTAAATTAATGCTTGAGTAAAGACAGAGTTAATAAACGTCATTGACCGCATGACTTTTCTGAAAAAATAAAAAGTGAAACTTCCTTTAACCGTCACCGGGGCTTTTGTGTGCGCACTGTTACACTCACAACTCACAACAACCCCAACTCACCTATGCGCTCTGCTGAGAACGGCATCCAATCAGATCAATTTTTTCCTGTTTTCAAATTTAATTGTGCATTTAATAATGTAAATTTGGAGGTGCTGGTGGCCCACGATCAAAGACACTGCTTCTTTTTTCCGGCGTGATGGTCAGATGTAGTTCTCTTTCACTGTAGAGTTTGACTTATTTTTGGATCTTGACTGTCTTATTTTTGGAGGGGGACGTTGTTGACTTTTACTTGTGAAATTCTTTATTTGCTGAGGACATTTCTCTGCTGTAAAGTCTTCATTGTTGGATCCTTTGGTGTTGTGCTGTTGACCCCTTTTTTAACAGGTTTACAGAGAAACTTTGATAAAAATGTTATTGTTTTGCTCTCTGAAAATGTATAAATTATCTCTGACAGACATCTAAAACTAACCTAAGTGCTCAGGATTTTCATCAGGATTTATTATCAGGTTATGCTGAAGTCAGGTCCACATCATTAACAACATCTGGATGTTTTTCCCTCTGTCGATGGGGTTTGTTTCACTGAAGTGGAGCTCTGTCTCTGACGTCTGCTGCTTTTTTTCCCGTTTTTTCCTCTGCCCTGCAGGCTTGATAGCGGTGGCCATCTTCATCCTCGCGTCTGCGCTGGCCGTTTTAGCCCGATTCCTCTACGGCAGGAAGGAAACGCGTGGTAAAAAAGCGGAAACCAGAAGACACCCAGAGCAGCTCTCAGAGTGAGAGGCGGCAGGATTGCTCCGTTCGGGGGGGGGGGGGGGGGGGGTGCTGCCCAGTGCTGCAGTGGTGGAGGCAGACAAAGACGCTCAGCGCTTCACACAACTAACAGAGACACAATGTGGCAAAAACAGGAAGACACCAACAAAACCACAAACATCTGTCTCCATTCGTTTTGCTTTTGCAGCTGTGACTGTGTTTCGGAACAAAGCGTTGAAACCCTGATGTGTATAGTCTGTAAAAGGGTTTCAGGTGGACAATAATGATGTAAAAGTTTATGCCAAACCATCTTTTCCCTGTCTTGAAATGAAGAAACTTATTTTTCTGCTCAGTTGTTTCTATCAAACCTCTCTTTGGATCCGAGATGACGTGGATATTGAGTGTTTACTTGCTCTTGGTTTTCAGGGTTTTACGCTTCCCTTTATTTATTCATTTGTTCAGAATGAAATGTCTCCTTTCATTTCTCCTATTCACTCCGTTATTGGTTTGATCGGCCTTTAGGTGTCGTGCTCTGGCCTATCACATCTCATTCACTGGGGATTCCTCTGAAACAGTTCTCCATGTTTACAACCACCCGGTGTGCACATGTCCACCGTATGGGTCATTTACAGGGGAAGGGTGTATATATTTAGTGGTGATGCTGATTTTGATGGTATTCTTTCATCGCAAAATGGTGTTAAATTAGAAAGAGTCTGGTCGGCATTTTCCCTAAGTGAGTATTTTTGATTCTTAGTGCCTGAAAGTCGTGGACATAATGACTCCATGCACAGGTGCGTGGGTCAAACTGGACCGCTGTTCCTGTCCCAGAAGAAATATGCTCAACATTACAACCCTGTAAAAAAAAAAATCAAAGTTCAAAACATTGTGCTGAGTGCTTCTCTGAACTGGATTATTGTTCCTGTAAGCAAAAGACCTTTTTTATTAGAACAAAGGGACGCTTTAGGTGACCTCCAGTATGCTCTGGGTCCTAATGGGCTCATTTCCGGTCTAATATAAGGCAGTGAAATAAATGTAAATAAGAGCAACTTCAATGGATGTGTTGATATGTAATGAAGTGTGCAAACCACTGTTTGAATTTGACATTTCTGGTGAGTTTCACAGGTTTACATGTGTGTCAAATGTCCAGTTTTGTTCAGATTGACACGATGATTTGTTTGTTTTTATGTTGTGTCATGCAAATGTGCTTAATGCAGATTTTGGCCCTTTTGATTACATGTTTTTGGGAGTACAAATTCATTAGAGGAGCAATTAGATTCATTCTACAGATTTAAAATTATTGTATGTCCAAAAAGAAACTCTGCTGTGTGGTTTTTAATATTACCCATGAGATTTTCTTTGTCCACGTGGATTTTATCCAGGATACTGACAAAGACACAGTTGACAAACATCAAGGAATTGGATTATATCTATGATGTGCTTTCAAATTACATCTGAGTTCTGTGATTTGGCACATTATAGATTTAATTTGATTTGATAAAAGATCAAGCATAGTTCCATTTAGTTGCAGACACCGTAAATTTGAACCAGATGACTGCCAGCTTTTAGATAAGGAGTATTCGATAAAGGAAAGAAAAAAAAGGAAAATGTCAAATATCCCCTCTAAAGTGGTTACTGTTGTAACGCTACCAATAAACTGCATTTTAGGATCAATATGAGGATGGCTTAGGGATATAAATTGGTCTTTCAGAGCTAATGAAAGCAAAACAGTGTTCGTTTTGTGAATTTCTATGCAATAGATGTATTCTTTAGAGAGTGTTATTCAAGTATTTTACCCCAGATGTAGAGCTCCTCAGAGACAGTTCTGCTAATTCTCAGACACTCCGGTTAATTCTCCCAACATCATTCAAACAAGCTGTTGCTTTTTTTAGAAAAAATTGACGTTATTGGTCTGAAAGGGGAAGTAATACCGCAATAAAAGCGTCAAATTGAAAGTCTCTGCTCAAAAAGCAAAAGGATTATATGAAAATGGCTTAATGTGACATCTGGATCAGGCTCAGAGGGAAGCATAACACAAAAGAAGTAAAATAAGAATCACTTAATAATGTTGCTACCAAGAGTAATACGTACCTCTGAAGTGGAGCTCATTTTTACCAATTTTCATGAACTAATCGGAAATCATACTCCCATACAGCTCATGCTTTGCACTTTGTGGGGGCTTTAGTACTCAGATTGGCCAAACCGTGACCTCTGCCCCTCTTTGAAAGTGTTATTCCATTGTTTGAGGGGTGATTGCATTAGGTTTTCACGTAAATATACAATTATGTGGATTATTTATTTTGAATTTGTGATTCAAGCTGCTGTCAACATATAAATGACATTTCTGGGCTTCAAGGGGGATCATTACCACCCTTAAACCCAAACATTATGGAGGACGTGGATGCAAAGATGAATCCATAAACATGCACTGTTCATAGCTTTATCCAGTGAGGTTATTGTGGAAAAAACTGCTGTCTGAGGATACTGGGTCAATGTTTTACAGTCTAAATTGTTTACAGCAATTCAGATAAAATTGGACTCCGTTTGGAAGATTGTGATTCATTTGCGGGTACACTTCTTTTTTTTTTACAGAATTGTAATCTCAGTCAATTTGAGAACAGGTAGATTTTGATGTGTACAGCTATTTTAGTGAAAAATGATTCTGTCCTGTGAAAATAAACAAATAGTCTTCATAAGAAGAAAGTTAATCTTTTTGGTTGATGTTGCCGTGACTAACTTGTATTTTATGTGTAATTTAAAATGACTGTCTTCTTTTTCATTGTAAGAATCAACGAATGACATTTCACACCTCCAAGATGAGGAGGCAGAACCTTCTTCTCTTTTTAGCTTCTGGTTTCATCTCAATCTTTGTCATGAAGCAAATTTCATACAAAGAAATTGCAACAAAGAGTGCTTTACACAGATTAAAAACTCAAAATATCAAGAATAAAATCAAATGTTTCACATCCAATTCCCAAAACCATGTTAACCTGAGTGTCCCATTCAGTCAAATAACCCAGAGAGCTTTTTTTAACCAGTAGTAAAAATGTTGTTTTAGCCTTCACTGAGAATTTGAGAAAACAAAACACCAGAAAAAAGTTAAATTATATATATTCAAATTTAATAGCATGTGTTTGAATAAAACGGGATAAAAAATAAATGGGTCAAATAAAATAAGATGAAATCAGACAAAAACTTACAACAAAAAGGGCTTAAGTTAAATAAAATATTTTTAAGAGATTTAACTTAGTTATACTAAGGCAGGTATTAAAACAAATGAATTCATCAATGAAAAATAAATGAAAACATTGGTGTTAAGTGAAACCACCGTGAAAAAGTCATAGACCCAAAGGCTCATTATCTCCATAACTTGGCTTGTGACAGATGAATCTCGCCAACATATCAGAAAGGTTTTGGGTGGCTGGATTGTTTAAATCAGCTCATCTAATTTCCACAAATCTACGTCTCTGTCTGACCCGGCCTGTCCTCCAGCTATAGCAACTATACACCACCTCAAAGCTTTGATTTCATCTCCATTTAACTGCTCCACCCTCTCGCCCACACACTCTGATCTCAGTGACAGCTCTCTAATATTATCTATATAAACTGGTTAAGTACTCTGTGGGTTTTTTTGTCACAGTCAACACACACCCAACCGCACTAACCACTTTGTTGTGTATTGTGTAACTACTATTAAGACATGTGTAACAAATATTAGCTCATGTGTAACTAATATTAGCTCATGTGTGACTAATACTAGCACAGGAAAAACTGCTTTCACGCGTCCAGCCGAGTCATGCAGAGTTCCTGGCAGCAGCCCTAGAGCTGCTGCAAACTTTCACAGTCCTGCTGGTATCTATGTCAGCTGCCCCACGGCGATGCAAAAAAAAAAATGAAAAGAAACTCCCCTTGCTGCACGCTGCATCCGTTTGCACACTGACAGGAAAGCATTCAGGGGTCAGCAGGAAAAAACTGGACGACTCCTGTTCATGAAAGCCCAGCTGGACAGTTGGCTCATGAGGATATTTTTATTATTTTAATGTCTGTGTGTGAGTGTGTGTGAGTGAGTGTGTGTGTGTGTGAGTGTGTGTGAGTGTGTGTGTGTGTGTGAGTGTGTGCTGAACTGGAACAGTTCCCAGCACAGATGAATCACCGATATATTTACTACATCTCACAGTTGTTGCTGTGGAGAAACCTTTCTTCTATCATCTTTTCCTCTTTTGTTAGGGTATGAAATCCATTCATCCAAACATAATTACACTGAGCAGAGATGTGGGTCTGTCACACTGACGCAGTCTTATCTCATCGTTATGTGAACGATGAGATAAGATGAGATAAGATGAGATAAGTGTCATTTGTATGCTATGAGTCACAATTAGAACAACTGGGTGAAAATAACAAAGCGTTGCTTTAGAAGGTGAGCACCTTCTAAAGCATTGTTTCCTTTTTCTCAAAAATGATAGTTCGGTGTATCTGTCCTTTGCATTTAGAGATTTCAAAAAGCTTTGTTTTCTGTTTCTGTTTGCTCCTGAAAAATGCTCTGTACGTTTATTTTTCATTTTACCTACTTCCTCTTTCTCCAGGCCTGTAGATTTAGGTCACTGTAGGTCAGCCTGTTTACCCCCAGGCTGTTTTTCCTTTAGCCTGCTCAGCTCTCAACCAATAATGATCATTTTTAAGGGTTGACAATCATCACTGAAAGAGTTGTGGAAACTCTTTATGACATCTTGTCTTTATGAAGAGATGGGGGCCAATTGACAGTTATTGTTTCCGTGCATGAATTGGTTCAGACGGGCACTGTAGGAATCCAGTTCAACTTCGAGGTTTTTGAGTTGTAATATGATTAATGTCCTGAGGGTGGTGAAATGACAGATTTTTTCACAAATGAATGAAAAGTTCCTTTGTTTGTATTTTCCTTGGAATATTGATTAAATTATTGCTTCTGCTCCCACCAACAGTCTTTGAAACGTGCAGGATGAACAGCCTCTCTATGTTTAAAGTATAAATTCTAATGGTTTATTGGTTAGCAA